TCTACCCATACATAGTAACCCTTCACCCATCAACAAAACATCATACTTTTTCTTCCTCCTTCGTTACTATTTTTTACGATCTTAGAATTACGCTATTGATTACCTGTACGAGAACTTTCATCGCTAACTGGGGAGTAATCTTTCCAGCCTGAATCAACTCATCAAGTGATTCAGTTAATGCCAGCCCAATACTAATGTAATTTGAAAAGATTGATTAAACATTGAATATAAATAAATTATGCGTACGTAAATATTAAAAGAAAATAACGACATTATTGAGATTTATTGCGCCTTTTTATTTCTTTTGATGAAAACAAAATAAACTCTATCGAATCTCTGACAATATTTTTCGTAAAGAAATTCAACTCGATATTTGTACATATATGACACTCGATTTTCCCTCATCAATTCACCACATTCAACCATCCCAACCAACCAAACAATCAAATTCTCCTTGTGATCACACGCAACAATTCCTTTACGTCCGTAACCATGTTTATTATTCCCATATATTTGATCCATTACACCGCCCATTAAAAAAACCACACACACCTGCTAGTACGATACAACTCATAATAGTGTGCCGGTGCCGATGAAGACGGCGAATTATTGTTATTATTTGATGAATTATTATTAATATTATTATTGCTGTTACTATTGTTGTTATTGTTGCTATTACTGCTGTTATTATTAGTGGTGTTACTAGCGTTGACTGCTGCAGTCGACATTTTTATTTTTATTTATTATTATTTGTTATATTTTTTTGTTGCGCTGAGTAGATCTTGAACAGATCTAACCACACAAGATTAAAGGGAAATGGTAATAACAATACTAGAAAACGATGTTGTCTTTTTTTCCATACAATCAAATAACAACAAAGATGTAGGTATAAAATGAACGCGGTCCACACCTCAAGATTTTTTTCAGTTTAAACTCTCCTTTTATGCTTTTTATACGATTATTCATCCGTGTCTATTTATTTGTGTTACCTGATGTATATGATGCCAGGATTTTTATTTAAAAGATCTATTTAGCGCTGAATATATCACATGGATTATTCTTATTGGCTATACATGATTGGCTTCTCACATGAAAACATAATTTACATATAAACATTCACCACCAAATGACCTTAAACTCTAAATAAATGATTATTTCAATCAACCCAGAAATAAGCAACACCTTGTTTTTTGAGTCCTCGGTTGAGTGGTGCTTATTCCAGGCACATATATATTCCTACATATCGCATTTTTATTGGCTTACATGAAAAATGGTCATCATTCAGATAATTCAACAGTGGCGCAGTATTTGATATCTTTAAGACTGTTCCCATAAATGCTTCACGCGTGAATAAGGTCTTTTATTCTTTGATTATCTAATTGTGTTTAACTATGATTAATAATATTATTTCTATAGAAACCAATAATTGTTCAAGATACGAGGAGAAAACCTATGATCGTCACGTACAGGATGCAAGCGAGAAAGGAACCAAAGCATCACTTTACATATTTATTCATAAACTTGCGATGAAAGTCGCTTCTTAATGTATCATTGATGAATCGCTTTTTTGGCTTGTCGTCCACACCACGCGCTTGATTCTTAAATATTACGTCGTCGTCCCATCTTTTTTTTTAGACATTTATGATCAATAATCATTCATCATCGTTCAATCAAAACTTAAATTACAAATACCTTCGTTTAACACTAAAATCTTTGTGCAATAGTGGATTACCCGTAGCAATTTCTTCTTGTCGCTTTTGCTCTTGGAGTTCCATGTTTTCGCGTTCCTATTTATTGTGAGATAATGCGATACAACATAAAAAAAAGGTGAACGGGAAAAATGGAAAAAAGCAAAACACCAACCTGACGTTCTTTTTCTTCCGCGCGTTCCTTTTTAATCTTTTCTAATTCTCTTAATAGTTCTTCGGTGTCATCATCTTCTTCTTCGCTATACGACAAATGCATTTATCAATTAATTTCATCATAAAGAAAGAATCAATGCGTCAATCTAATGACAAACCTTTCACTCTCAGTAAAAAATAGTAACGAAGGAGGAAGAAAAAGTATGATGTTTTGTTGATGGGTGAAGGGTTACTATGTATGGGTAGA